TTTATATTTTTCAGCTACAAAAAGTCCAACCCATCAAGGATAAAATGGGAACTTAACCATCATCTCTGACATTAAATCCGAACTTCAAAAAAAAGACCTCTTCTTCCGAACTGGTTCATGGCGGAGTTTCATGCGCTAGGACCAAACTACAGACATTCCGACAACTTTTTGTATGACTTCACCCAATCAATGAAGCTTTTCAGAATCCTGTGGGAGGAACCACCTTCCTCGACGCTATTGCTTCCTCCAACTTGCCGTGGGATACTACTAAAACTCTCATGTTCGGCAACATGGTAGCACGTCGGTGAAGGTTTTGCCCATATTGCTGAACTACCTGCTCATGTTGCTGAAAGTAATTCAGCAACATATTTCTTGTTGTTGATTTTTTTGTGGAAAAGTTTGCTCGGTAATATATTATTGACAAATTTCACGCTGTTGACACATGATGCCATTTTCAGTAACATGCACTATTAAAATTTTGGTTTTTAGGAACAATATATCAGCAGCAACATGGGATTGTTTGTTGCTAAAAATATGTATTAGCAACAAGTCCTATGTTGCTAAAAGTTCTCCAATACACCTCATCCCGAAAAAACTGTCTCACTTTCAACAATATACTTTTTATTGTTAAAAGTAACTTTCAGCAACATACTTCATCTTGCTGATATTTTTCGGTGAATCATTAGGGATTTAATTGAGTTCCATTTTTCAGCAACATGTTCCTTGTTGCTGAAATTCACTTTTAACAACAAGAGATATGTTGCTGAAAACCTGAAATATTAGCAACATATACCTTGTTATTATTCCTATCTTTTTACCAATCAAACATCAGCAACAAGAAACATGTTGCTGATATTCTTTGATTGGTGGTTGGCCAAAGCTATAATATATATATACACCGTCTCAAACCACCATGGGGAGCATCACCACTTCCACTTTTAGCAACAAAGGGTATGTTGTTAAAAGGGAATTTCAGCAACATGCCCCTTGTTGCTGACATTTTTCGGTCACCACACACCAACCATTTCCCATCTAAAATGAGGTCCACTTTTAGCAATATGGTTTTTGTTGCTGAAAGTGAATTTCAGCAACAAGGACCATGTTGCTGAAAATCCTTTGACTAGTAGCTCCACCCATTATATATACACCTGTCCATTACCAATATATACACACCTCCCACAATTCTCAATTTCTTGTTATTTCTTCCTTACTCTTGCAATTCACTTTTTTTATCCCTACATAATTACTTTTATATTATAATTTAAAAATAATAATTTTTATAAATTTCAAAACTCTTTTTTATGTTGCTTAATGCAGAGTCAAGAATATTTTGATAATCAATTGGAAAGTCAAGAATATTTTGACAACCAATTAGAAAGTCAAGATCATTTTGACAATCAATTGGAAAGTCAAGAATATTTTGACAACCAATTGAAAAGTCAAGATTATTTTAACAATCAATTGAAAAGTAATCAATTGAAAAGTCAAAAATATTTTGATAGCCAATATAATGGTATAATTGTTTTTTCCTTCCCTTATTTCTCATTTCCTGTTCGTGCACCCCATTTACTATCATATTACTTAACTTTATGGTATTTTACACAGGAATCATTGAGAATACTCTTAAATCATTATGGAATTGCCCATCTGAAAGTCCTCCAAAGAGGAAGTTGAAAAAAGCAAAGAATAATGTATCAACTAACAAAGACATTCCATTGCCTAATATTGTAGACTACTCTGTTTGTCAAATATGTGATACTCTTGGACATTTAGCTACAGTTTGCCCGTACCGATATGCTGTAACTTGTCAACTGTGTAACCGTGAGGGTCATATTGCAAAAATTTGCTCAAATCGTTATCAATCACCATTTTTGTCAAATCCACCCAAAACCCCTACTGAGTCCTCCAAAACAATTACAAAGATTTTTGGTGATGGTAGGCGTCTTACATTTGAAAAAAAGTATTAGGATGCTATCATTCAAAAATTACGATCCATTCAAGAACCGTAATATCAATGTCTTATGTTCTTCAATTTTGTTTCCAATTTCTCTTGTTTTCTTATGATTATCTTGTATATTTTGACATTACAACATTTATTAATGATTTCTAAGTATTTCTCATGTTGATGTTAAGAGTTTGCATGAAATTCTTTTACTTTGTGAACCACATAGTTCAAGAGTCCAATCTTACATAGTAGAGTCGACTGTAAAGGACTAAGAATCGACTCTCAACATAGAGAGTCGACTATTTGAAGGGAAAAAAGAATATGGTACTTACTAGGATTTGGTAGTCGACTCTAAAGCCAAAAGAGTCGACTATAAGCTGCAGCAAATTAAATTCCTACATACTGGAATTTGGTAGTGGACTCTTCACATTATAGAGTCGACTCTAAATCCAAAAAAGTTGACTCTATAATGGAGAGTCGACTATGAGCTGTAGCAAATACATTTCCTGCTTACTGGAATATGGGAGTCGACTCTTGCTGCTTAATAGTCGACTCTCATATGCCTGAAGAGTCAAATATAGGTCTATATTCGACTCTTTAGTCCATTTCTGTGGTTTTCCAGAATTTACTGTTATCGTTTCTTTTCTTTCTTTTTTTTTTTTTTTCAGCAACATCAACTATATAATCTGTATTAACTGGAGTATGAGACATACTTCACCATTAACTATGACCATTTAATCAAACTTCAAAATCCTTCTATATACAATCACAAATTGTAAAAAATACTAATGAATCATTAAAACCACATGCACATCAAACTTTAAAACCACGACCACAAATTGCCATTCAAGCACACTAATAACTACCAACTTGCTTGCCATCAATGGAAGCACATCAAGAACATAATCAACCAATACAAAATCATCACAATTATGATATGCTCATTGATGTTAAAAACTGCATTAAATTAAACTGCATCTAATGTCAATATTATATGTACATATTCAAAAATATAAAAAGTCAAAACATTAAGAAAACCTTCCAAAGAGTGTTCAAATACTAAAACAATAATTTAACAGGCATCAACAACTACAACGGGAGGATTTATGCTTCCAGATGTGAAAAGGAATCAGTGGGTTGCTGTCTGGAGGATGTGCCAACAGTTGACGAATCTCCTCTTATCCCTTGAGGACCTATAGGTGTTGCCATCTGACACTCGTGAATATGATCATCGAGCTTCGATTCAATCCGTGTAAGTCTCTCGAGAACCGTGTAAGTCTCTCGAGAATGAGCTGCATTCCTTTCTGTGTGGTTAATCTCTAAGGAACTCGAGATGAAGCAGCTTGTGAGGGACTTGCTTCTTCAGTTTCTTTGGCATGTTCTTCATCATCAAAACCCTCACCTTCATCATCTTGTCCTCCTCTTCTCCTTTTTTGCTTCATTTCCCAATAGTTTGTTCTTGCACTAAATACATACCTCATTTTGTTCAGCGAACTCTCATTCAGAAGCTCGTGCCTGTGTAGGTCTCAGGACTTCATACCACGCAAATCAATACCTGCATTTTTCGTAAATAATGTGATGAGAGTGCCATATGCTAGTGTGAGTGTCGATCTACCCCTATAGTACTACCCATAAAAACGGTCTATTGGATGGTTCATACCCCAATGCCTTGTCTTGCTCTAGAAAAGGTATGACTCTAAGATGTGGATTGCCCATTCTGCTGCTATTAACTCTGCATTCTAGACTCAAGTTGGATCGTATTTCTTTTGATAGTTGAATTGA